TAAAACTCTCCTGGGGAAAAAAAATCTCCTCAAATCGATTTCTTTCTGTTTTTACTTTGTTTAATTCTCACCAAAGGACATATTCATTAATTTTAGAAGGAAGAAGGGAGGAGCCAGGGAGGGAGGGAGGGAGAGACAAACACTGTTGTGAGAAACATCAACCTGTTGCCTCCTGTACACACCGAATCAGGAATGAAGTCCACAACCTAGGCGTGTGCCTTGACCGGGAATTGAACCCTCAACCTTTCGGTGTATGGGATGATGCTCCAACCAACTGTGCCACCAGGACGGGGCTCCTCAGCTTGATTTCCTTGCCTAGTTACCCCTTGGGAAGTCTTCATGTACCCCACTGAAAAGAGTATTTGATACAGGCAAACCCATACTCCACTGGCTGTTGTTATCAAGCTGTGATAGCCTGATACACAGTCCCTGGCATGTGCTAGGAGCTCAGTAAATGTGGAATGAATACACTTATTTCCTTTATAGATACTAAAGGGGAAGTTCAGGATTCTGGTACGCCAACACACCATACTTTTGCTCAGGTAGATTTCTTCCTTGTTTCTCTTAAATGGCTAGCTATATCATGTAGATATTAAATCCAATAAAATTCATGTCAGGCAATTATAAAATTGCAACAATTAAGATTTATCTGTCATCAGCCTAGCAATTGGGATTGTAATTTTTCATTTATAAGAGATTGGAGATTGCTCTTTTGTGCCCTAAAGTGATGTGTATTTCAGAATTCTGTTTGCTAAGAATGTACTGCATAAAAAGAACAACCTTCGCTGAGTCTTGATGTAGGCACTTTGCTACAGGTGGGATATCTTAACTAGGGAGGCTACTTGTGGCTTGGCCGGAGTTTGGGAAATGTACTGTGATGAAGAGGAACAATATCCTAAATTTCCCCTATTCCCTAGATTTCCCTCAGGATAATGCTTGATACTGCTTTTAAAAATAGACAAGACAGCCCTGGCTGGTGTAGCTCAGTGGATTGAGCGCGGGCCTGCAAACCAGACAATTGTGGTTCAATTCCCAGTCAGGGCACATGCCTGGGTTGCAGGCAGGTTCCCTGCAGGCCAGTTCCCAGCAGGGGATGCACGAAAGGCAACCATACATTGATGTCTCTCTCCCTCTCCCCTTCCTCTCTAAAGATAAAAAAAAAATAGACAAGACAATTTTAATTCAAATTCTGATACTGTTACAGAAACCAACCCCATCCTCTGGGGTATTTTTTTACCATGGTTCTTTGCCCGCCACCATTGTGTTAGGAACTGTGGCTCTCAGTGCCAGAGTTTGGTAAAAACAAAAGGAACTGTTTATTCAAAAGTCATGCAGGCTTAGAGTAACGGAGGAATGTCGCTGTTAAATCCTACTCCCTTTAAAACACCCACAAACACACACACACTCCTGCCTCCCCTTGGCAAACCAGGCCAGGCAGGGGTACTGCATCTCAGGAGATGAGAACGAGTCCGCAGCTCACTTCATCAGGTCCCTCCCAGTAATCCAAGCTCAGCTGGACAGGTCTCCCACAGTTCCCAGCACCATTAGCTGTGTCTTGGGGAATTCCAGTCTTTAATCCAAAATCAAGTGGCACCTCCTCATGGCCTGCCTGCAAGAGTCCCCCCCCCCCCCCCCGCATGACCTTGCAATAGTCCTGCATTGTCTGCGTCCCACATGGCAACCTGCCTTTTTGTTTAAATCCCAGCCTGGAACCTCTTCCATAACAGAAATGGGGTTATTGATGGAGTCAGAACTCCATCCACCCACAGTCAGCTATACCTGCTAGCACTCCCATATCCTCTGCCTTTCTTGGCTGTCAGTCCAGGCAGGCGTGGCCCTGTGGGGTGGAGAGAACCATCTCCACTTCTCCTGCAGGTGCTGTAACCAGGGGAATCTACTCCAGGTTACATCATGGGTTGAATTCATGCATATCTTCCTGGCTCCACGCAGGCCAGGATAGTCTGCTGTTATCAATATGCAAAGTAACTGCTGCTTTTCTCAGCCTCCAACCTAGGCTTGTGTGGGGCCCTGGGGCCTCTCAGCCTGCACTTGAAAGCTTTTTCCAGCTCTAGGATAAGCTACTGACACAGAGGAAAAGACGCCAGGCTGAGGAGTTTCATTTAGTCTTTTAATAATAATAATAATAATTAAAAACAAGACTATACAAAATCCAAACATTTTTTACAAATTCAGATACATTTTTCCCCAAGTGCAAAATAGTCTATGAACTGCATCACTTACTGTTTATTGTTGATTGTGTAGAAGATGCTTGCAGTATCGGCAGCAGTGGAAGGCATATATAAATACAATATTTTGAGATTTCTTCCGCATGAAAAAAAGCCTCCCACATGATAATGATTAGTCTGAAACTTCAGTTCAGCTCACACAAAAGAACAGTTTTCAGCTTGTCCATACTGTTACAAGTCTGTGTTGTCTAGATAGGCTGATAACAGAACTGGGGATTCTATTCCCTCTAACCATATTTTCTTAAAGGGATCCTAGTCCAAATAATGGCCCAAGGACAGGGTGTGCTACCACTGAGACAGGTTGAATTTAAAAATACCCTTGTGTTGTTTGCATCCACTTTTTTCTTGCTGTGCTTAAGAAATAAGCCAAGCAGCTAACATTATTTCCTGCTTATGGTTATCCTATGTTTCCTTTCCCCTAGTTTGAGCCTCTTATGTTGAGGTTAAGCAGCAAATAGAAAAGCCTGAATGCTCTATCATGTTTTCTGACATTTTGAGATATGACCTCCTAACCCATTTGAGAATCACCTCCATCATGCATATGGAGAATACTTCTTGGATGTAAAAAAGTTTCATTAGGGCCAAAGATGAGGACTGTATTACTGAACCTGAAGCAATACATCTGAGCCTCCACCTTCTCTAACTAAACCAACCCTGGGGAAGTTAGAGCAGTCCCAGCTCAATCAACGTCTGCCCCTGGGGATTTGTAGGACTGGGGCAGGTGGGGGCTCTAGGTCAGGCTCTGGTCAGCTTCCTCCCGACTCTGAGTTCCCTCAGGTCTGGGGAATGGGCCTGGTCTAATAACACAGAATGAGGAGGCAGAGAAGTGAAAGGGATTGCTTGTTGCCGAGGAAAGAAGTACCTTTCTGATGTGCATCACTGGGTGCTCAGAGCCCCTGCAGAAATGGTTTCCCAGACTCAGATCAGGGCAGGCTTTGGACTATGATAAATGAAGCCTCACAGCACTATGACCCTGTAAATACCCATCCTGCAGAGTGGCCTTTGGGCTGATTCAGGAAGGATTCCCATTTATACCATCTTTCCACTTGCTCCTTTTCTGCCTGACTTGTAAAGGCCTAGTCCCTGGACTGTGGAGAGTCCCCTCCAGCCCTGGCCTAGACTAGAGTCCCTGAGTGTTGACTCCTCATTCAGTCCACTTACTCCCTAGTTTGATGCCCCAGGGCTGGCTTCTGCCATAGGTTCAGCAAGCAGTTGCCTGGGTTCTTAATCCCCGACCCACCCCCAAACTTGGAAAACCTAAATTAAACTTGGTGGACACTAGCAGTTCTTCACTGCTCACCAAGATCAGCCTTGCTTGATATCAGTAAGAAGCTTCAAGGTCTATACTTGCCATACTGTGGACATGATTTGCAGGTCCCAGAACCCATAGAATAAGATTGGAGTAAGTGTGTTTGCATCTGTATGGCAAGGCAAAGCCAGACCCTAAAGACACACATTGGGAAGCACTTCAACTGGCTAAGAGATGCAAATTATAGGGAGAGAGGAATCAGTTATCTTAGCTTCTTCTGGTGGAGAAACAGGATGGCCAAAACTGGTTAAAGCAGTTTTCATGGCATTTCCTGAGAAGAATGGATACTTCTATTAAATGACCATTTTCCTGCTTGGAGGCAGCACCCTCCATGATCCAGAGAGGCAAAAGCAGCCAGACACTCCACCCCTAACAGCCAGCTGTTGGCTAACAGATGTCAGGGGATCTGGCTGTGACATTGGTTACCTATGCCCTAAGGCAGTTTTGGCTGGTGAATGCTACTAGCTGGGGAAAGGGTAGGAGGTCAAGCTCTTTTATTTAGTGTTGAGTCTCCTGAGGGAGCAATAGCCTGGGACAGTCACTTAGAAATAAACACTACAAGTCAATTGGTAGCCTGTGATTGAATAACACTATAGCTTTGGGGGAACTAGAAGTAGCAAATGGAAAATAATTTTACAGGCAGCAGTGGATTGTGGGTGGAGTGTGTGCAGGATCTGGGCTTGGGCATGGACTTGATTCTTCTTCCTTTTGAGAAGCAGCACTTCAGGAAGCTACGCTTGCAGTCAACTCTGAGAGGGAATGGCCAAGGTCAGGCAGACAACTTGATGCCTGGGTAACAGTCCAAATCTCAATTTCCTCAGCCTTGCCTCTGGCCTCAGGGCCGAGTCGGCCCCACCCCAGGGGGTTTGTCCTGGTCCTCTGCCAGTGTACACCAGGGAAGACAGGGTGGCGGCAGGGAAGATGGAGGTTTCCCTCCTGGGGTGGAGAATCACTGACCTATTCCACCAGCTTATACAATCATGAGGTCCATGCTGAATCCATGGAGAGGAACAGGGATAGTAGGGTTGTCCCTCTCCTTTCTGCTTCATGAAGTCCCCAGAATTACTGTCCTACACATCAGGTACCTGTGAGCTACAGCCCTGGTTTGCCCACGCTGAGGGCTCAGGAAGTCCAAATGGCCACTGGTTGGAGGGTAGAGAGAGATCAGATGCTCCAGCACTCAAAGTTCGTGAGATTCAAAACCTTTCTTCTTCCACTGCAAACATATACTCTTCTCTCTTGGGAAGCTATAAATAGGGTTGTCCTAATAGAGGAAAAAGGAACAAAAACAAAACCAGGAAACAAAAACCCCTCCCTCTAGACAACACAGACTCAAAAGCGATTGCACTTATTAGATGTGGACAGGGTGGGCGGAAGGCTTGCCAAGTGCACACATGTTCCTCTTGCTGCCCACAGCCTGGGGCCAGAGGTAGTGGCTCAGGGCTGGCTGCAGAGCGGGGTCCTCTTTGGTGGCGCCCACAAGCCATCTGGGGCTACGAGGGAAAGACAACTCTGAGGTAAGGCCCAGGCTGGCTTCCGCTTAGCAGCCGTGCTTCTTTAAGGGCAACATTTAGCAGGGGGACTAGGGCTCCCCCAGGGAGCATGTGGATGGGAGAGAGGGAGTGGCTGGGCCAGAGAAGACAAGAAAAGGGACTAGTGTTTGAGGCTGGCTTCCTGTTCTGTAGCCTAGTCCTTTAGATGATACAATTTCTTTCCTTTTTTTTTTTTCCTTTTCTTGCTGATGTTTTAGAACCTGGTTTCTGTCCTGCAGAGTTAGAGTCTTTCTCCTGGGAGTGAAGCAGCACTTCTACCAAGGTCATGCCTGCTGCTCTTCCTCATTCAGCTGGTGTGCACCAGCCCCGTGGTGTGAGCCTTTTGTAAGCCCTCGTAGATTGGACTTCAGGCAGACATGAGGGGGAAGGAGTGGAGGAGCTGTATAGACAAGGAAGCCAGATGTTTGGGTGGTCCAGGGCTCAAACCACGTGCCCTGGAGGACCAGTGCTAGCAGGAAGCATGTAAGTCAAAGGCTTCTTTGGCAGAACCCTGGGCTGTTAGAATCCCCTGGGGGTAGGGCATAGCCAGGGGAGATTTTGGCTCCAGACTAGTAAGGCACAACCCTATAATGGCAGAAGCCCCTCTTCCCCCTCCCCACGCCTCAACAGACCCACTTTTTAGGCCTCTAGCGCCTTATAAGTGATGGGGTTAGGGATGTGAGATGGTAAAATGGGCAGTGTGGCTGGGGAGGAGAGTGGGTACTGTCCCTTCACCCCCAGGGGGAACAGAGCCAGGACTGAAAGGCTTTTCCAGGGAATGTGTGGGAAAAGGAGAGACAGGAGAGAGGGAAAGAGAAAGAAAGGCAGAGAGACGAGGAAAGGAAACTAGAGAGGCAGAAAGGGAGAGTTCTTGGTCTATATAGTGATTTTTTTTCTCTGAAAACAGAGGAGAGAGTTCCTCATCCAAGGGTGGGGGCTGTCGGCTCTGAGGGCTAAGGAGTGTGGGGTCTTCAAAACCTGGGTCTTGGGCGGGCATAGGGGTACTATTTGTAGGGCCTCAGGAAGCTGGAAACTTTGGAGCGGAGCAGCTTAATGAAGGATTTTGGCAGCATCTCCTTGTGCTTCTCTGTGTACTTGAAATAGTTCTGGGGGTGAGCCAGCACCTCAAAGAAGGCCTTGATGAGCTTCTTGTCCTGCAGAGGATGGCAGGTGGCAATGTCAGCATCAGTGATGGGAAAGAGGAACCCCAGCCTCAACTCGGCAGCAGCCCCTCTTGATGCCTGATGGGCATACTCGGAGGTGCACTGGATTCCCATCCCCAGTACCCGTTCCTCTAGAATTCTGCAGCTCAGCCCGTGGCAGCCCTGTCCTTCCACTGCTCAGGTCCCGGTCCTGGGAGCCACCCTTGACTCCTTTTCTGCTCACACCCACGGCAAATCCTGTTGATTCTACCTTCCAAACCTATCTGGGTCCGACCACTCTTCGCTGCCTCCGCAGCCGGCAGCCTATCCGAGGCACCATCCTTTCTTACTTGGACTACTGCAATAGCCTCCTACCTGATCTCCACACTTCTGCCCACCCTGTCTTTCTATCGGTGGTTCTCCCCTGTACCAGCCATGGTGACATTTTAAATTTTTTAAAAAATATTTTATTTATCTATTTTTAGAGAGAGGGGAAGGGAAGGAGAAAGACAGGGAGAGAAACATCAGTGTGTGGTTGCCACTCAGAGGCCCCCTCCTGGGGACCAGGCCCGCAACCCAGGCATGTGCCCTAGGTTGGGAATCGAACCACCAACCCTTTGGTTTGCAGGCCCATGCTCAATTTACTGAGCTACACCAGCCAGGGCTTAAAAAATTTTAATTAGGTCATGTTCTTTACCCATTTAAAACACTTCTCTGGTACTTTTCATAAAGCCAAGTCCCTTACATGGCCCATAGGCTGAGTGTGATCTGTGCCCTGTCCTCTCTGCCATCCCTTCCCGGCTCTTCCTTATTCTGCGGAGCCACACTGGCCTTCCCGAGGCTCTCGAACGTGCCACACCACTCGAGTGCTCCTTAGCTGCAATCGCTCCTCTCCCCATTGTCCAACAGGGAGTCCTTCACCTCATTCAGGGCTCTTCTCAGAGGCCTTCCCTGACCACCCGGTCCGAAACGGCAGCAATGCCGTGTGCGCCTGCTTGGTGTCGGGCGCTGTGCACCAGGACTCACTTCTGGCTTCCAGGCTAGTGTTCGTTCCTTTGCATCGGCAATTTTCAAAGTGAGAGCTGGGGCTTCCAGCCTCTCTTCCTCATTCTATCAAAGGGCTCTGCTACTTTATGCATTGGAGTTCCTTAACACATTTGAAATAAGGGTTCAGATGCTTTAAAGAATGTTTAAAAAGCACTGCTGAAATCGTGTTCTTTGCATTTTCAAGTTCTGAGGAGATCTATGTCATCATGTCCCTCGTTTGTAAAAAAAATGTTCTATTTATTTATTTATTTATAGGGGAAGGAAAGGAGAAAGAGAGGGAGCAAAACATCGATGTGAGAGAAACATCGACCCTTTACCTCTCCTACACACCCTGACCAGGGACTGGGCCCACACCCCAGGCATGTGCCCTGACCAGGAATCAAACCAGTGACCTTTTGTTCAGCTCAACCAACTGAGCCACACCAGTCAGGGCTCCTATCCCTTCCTTTGATGATAATACAAAAATTAGTAACCATAGAGACAAATCTTTTTTTATCCTCACCTGAGGATATGTTTATTGATGTTAGAGGGGGAGCATGGAGAGAGGGAGTGCAAGAGAGAGTGAGAGACAGAGAGAAACATCGATATGAGAGAGAAACACTGATTGGCTGCTTCCTGCGCACGCCTGATTGGGGATCGAACCTGCAACCTAGGTATGTACCCTGACCAGGGATCAAAACTGCAACCTTTTGGTGCATAGGACAAGGCTCCAACCAACTGAGCCACTTGGCCAGGGCAGAGACAAACTTTTTAATATATATGTATTTTTTAATTTATTTGTTTTTAGAGAGAGAGAGAAGGAAGAAAGAGAGGGAAAGAAACATCAATGTGAGAGAGAAACATCAATCAGTCGCCTCTCATTATACTCCCTGTTCAGGGACCAAACCCACACCCCCCGCAGCCATGTGCCCCAACTGGGGTTTGGACTGGAGACCTTTTGCTTTGCAGGACAACATTCAACCAACTGAGCCACACCAGCCAGGGCAAGACAGACCTTTTTTAAATTAATAATTTATGAAGGACTGTGACTAGGACTATAGTTTCTTAAGTAAAATTTTCCTCAAACTGGGATCCACAAGACCCAGGTCTAGTCCTTTCTTCAATGTTGGAAACATTTATTTTCCTTTAAAAGAGGTCTATACTGAATTAACTCTGAGAAACACTCTGCTGATCTGCGTTTCTGTGGGGGCTCAGGAAGGTGTAAGGGAAGGAAGGGACTTACACAAAAGCATCTTTCTATACTGCATTTCCCCTGTATTTTTTGATGGAAGAGGTAGGGGAAATTTCACCTCCTCAGCTTTCTGTTCTCTTCCCCACAACGTGTGGGTGATGCCACATACAGTCAAGACGGGCTTACGCTCAAATCCCAGCTTTGCCTCTGGGCAACTTCTGTAATTCCCTGCGCCTCAGGTTTCTCATCCGTAAAGTGGGAATGGTGAAAGTACCTAATTCATAGAGCTGTTGTATATTATCGAATGAGAATACTCATGTAAGCATGTGGCCTATTGGCTGCACGTTGTTACACGTTCATGAAATGTTGGCTATCGTGTATATTCACTTGCCTTTAAAATCTCTTGGTGGTTTTCAGACGCATAGAGCCGGCCATCGCGCACAATGTCCTCTACCAGTTGCTCATAGTCCTCTGCAAAGTCAACCACGGGAAGAAGCTCAGGGGTGGGAACTGCACCTGTTCCGCTTGCTGCCCCTCCAGACCCGTGAGCCTCCCGTTTCTCACCCACCTCCCTGGCTCTCCTGCCCTTGCTCACCGTCGTAGGTGACATAGGGGATCTGGAAGCCACGTGCACTGTTGGCCTCGCTGGTCTTGAAGTTGATCCAGAGCTTCCTGGAGCGGGCTGTAAAGGCGATGGGGCGCTCGTACGTCTGGCAGGTCTCATAGGTGGTAATGGAGGATGGGGAGGCTGGGAAGGCAAGCAGCTAGTCAAGAGAGCAGCAAGGCAGGCCGCCCAAGCCGCCCTGGAATGAGGGCCGTGGGAGAGAGGGTCATGCCGACAGGCTGTCCCCTGGGCATGCACCGCCCCACCCCACCCTCCACATACACACCCAGTCTCCCACCAGCCTGGACTCACTCCACAACCCTATCTGACAGCCAGGCACTCACATGGTGAATGATGTCTGACATTTAAATGAACGGAACAGCAAAAACTCTCAAACAGGAAAGTGGCACATCTAACACTACTGGAGTTCTAGCCCCAGGGCTGGCTTTAACTCTGCTCTCCACAGGATGGGCGGCATCATCGCTGTGTCCCTCCGTTAGCGCTCCCCCTCCCAAGGCCTCCCTCGCCACTGCCCCAGTCCTTCCTGTACCAGTTTCCTCTCTCCCCCTCCCAGCCGGATTTGGACCGCCCTTCCCTGGTCCAGCTCTGCAGCCACCCACAGTTCTTTCTCATGACGAGGACGTCCCCACACTCGTCCTCAGATGGCAGGAAGATCTCGGGTACCACGATAAGGATCTTGCGCTTGGGTGGGGGGTTGATGTTCCAGACGCACTCCACGCCAGCTGGGTAGTTGCCTGGGTAGTTGGGGGACTCGATATAGCCGGTGAACTCACCCAGCTCCCCACCACACTGACGATCTGCAGCCAAGCACCAGTGGACAGGGCAAGAAAGAGAGGGAAATCAGTGGGGTATGGGTGGAGAAACTGAAGGGTTCTGAGTGGAAATCAGACACCTCATCTGTTCTCCACGTTCTGGGGCCACCATCCCTCCTGCCCTTTTAGTACCTTCTCATCTCCCCTCACCTGTCTTTGCCTCCCCATTACCTGTCTCCAGGGAGAAGATGCTACAGGGCCCAGCCCAGCAAACGGTCTGGAGACTGACTGAGTTGGGGGGAGAGGGAGGGTGAGCCTTTCCTGCCCATCTCCTTCTCAGCCCTGCTCCCTGGTGGCTGACTTCCTCTGCCCTGCTTCTCCCTATGCCCACGTCCCTCAGGCCTCTCTACCCATTTTCTGTAGCCGGCCTGCCACATACTCTTGCACTGGGCCACGCTGGTGGAGCCATCAAAGTCAGTGCTGGTGTTTCCTGGACAGCGGGTGCAGAAGTTCTGACGGAAGTCGGGCTGATAGGACCCCATGGCACAGCGGATGCAGCGATGGATACTGGTGTTGTAGTAGTGCCCAGGGGAGCATTGGACTGCAGGAGGGGGAGAGGTGGGCACTAAGGCGGCAGGCACGTGGGAGTTCTGGGGTGTGGGATGGGCAGGATACGTTCATCCTGGACACCAAAGCTCCTTCCAAAGTCCAGCCTTTCCTAGTCATGCCAGACCTTAAGGCCAGGGGAAAGCAAACTCGACAGAGCGGTTGCCACAGTGCCAACCCTTCTTTCCCACGCATGGAGCAGTGCTGAGCCTGTACAGACACTGTGTATAGGGTTGAGGGGAAAGTGCCGCCAGCTCTCTGAAGCAGAGGGGTAATCAGCATGACTGTTTATTTATTTAAATTTTTATTGATTGATTTTTAGACGGAAAAGAGAGGAAAAAAACACTGATTTGTTGCTCTGCTTATTCATGCATTCGTTGGTAAGTGCCCTGACTGGGGATGGAACCCACAGCCTTGGCATACGAGGACGATGCTCCAACCGACTGAGCTGCCCAGCTAGGGCCTTGGCACTGTTATTAGTCCCCAACTCCCAGGCTTATGGCTTTCGGCAGGTCAGGATGGGTCCTATAAGCAAAGTGTTGGTAGTGGCAGCTGGGCCTTTCTTGGTTCAGGGAAGATGACGGTGCAACAGACCTGGGTCTACTCTGGGGACCAGGAGGGTGCCCTAGTGGGGTGAGTAGCCCACTCACCTTTGGTATCACAGTCTTGGAAGGAGATGGCCCCCTCGTGCTTGGTGGTGAGGCCCCCGCCACAAGGAAAGCACAGAGTCCGTCCTGCTTCGGGTTGGTAGGTGCCACGTGGACATGGCTGGCAGGGCTTGAACCCATCTACAGAGTGTTGGCCAGGTGAGCACTGACCTGCAATGAACCAAGGGCCCAACTCTGATGGGGATGGTCCTGGTCATCCCTTTGGGGTCACCCAGTATCAGGGAACAGAGGCACACAAACAGGATATTGACTAGGAGAGTGGCCTGGAGCCTGGGCCTGCCCTTGGGCAATCCCATGGCCATGGGCGTCCCAGTGCCCACCCTACCCCACTGTGCATTGTTTGTTCCCCTGGCACCTGCACACGTGGTGATGTTGGTGGCTCCAAGAGGCCCCTGGGCATCACTCCCAGGGCAAAGGTCGCAGGAGAGCTGCCCTTCTCTCTCCTGGAAGGTGCCCGCTGGGCATGGCACACACTGCTCCGTCTGGCCGTGGTAATACGTCCCCTGCGGGCAGCTGACTGAGGGAGAGTCGGCCGCGCTAGCCACCCACCCCACCCCCTATTTCCCACCACCCAGGCCTGGGACTCCCCTTCCCACTTCCCCAGATTTAAGCAGAATCTCTTTGGAAACAGACAAAATCCTGCTCAGAAGAATCAGAGGCCAAAGCCATGTGCAGGAGGACTGGTGGTGCCACCTGTCTTCTAGATTGCAGCCTGGGGCCAAGGAGCAGAGGATGATGGGCGGGAGGGTCTTGGCTGCCTCACAATTTGAGAGATGCAACCGAGGCCATAAAGTATTCTGCTCTGAGCCAGGCCCAAGCCAGGCCTTTCCCACTCCCATACTCTCCTATATCCCAGCAAGCTCCCTTACCACACTTGGCCCCAGTGCGGTGCTGCCCGGGCCTACAGGTCTCCACCAGCTCGGCTCGCTCTCCAGCTGCAGGGCCCGGTTTGTGGGCCAGCTCATAATCAAGGCCTGCCAAGCGCAGGAGGAAGCGGTCCTGGTTGATGGACTTTCTAAGCATCTTCAGGGACCCTTTCAGCCGTCGTTCCATCCGCTGTCGGAGGCAGGGCAGCCCACAGCCAGCTGGTAGCAGATGGTGGTGTGAAGTCAGAGGAGAGAAAGTGGCTGTCAGCAGGAGGGAACTGAAGCCAGGAGCTAGAGGTGAGAGGGACTGGCTCCTGGGCGTGGCCTTAGGCAGGGTCTGCCCTGAGCACAGGTCCCACCCCTCCCCCCTGCTGCTGAGACCTGTGGTTTCCCTGTTTCTGCCCACGCCCCCTTCCTGCCCTCTTTCCAGCAGTGCTCCCAGGCCTACCTGTGGTTTCTTCGGCTCTGACCTCTGCCTCCAGTTCCAGGGTGAGCCGAGTGACTTCCTTGCCTGGAGGGGTCCGGGCCCTCCGGCCCTTGCCCTTCCGAGAGGAGTCACATTTGAGGTGGATGAAGGTGACCTGGCAGTCAGAGCAGGGGGCACCACCTGGGGGAAAGGCCTTGTCAACCCCAGGGCACCCACTGGGGACAAGAAGTTCTCACTTCCAGCTCTCACTCTTTTACCCAGATCTCTGACTGCAACTATCTCAATGCTCTTTGAGTCTCGGATGCTAATTAATTGGTGTGGAGAACACCCTGGAACCTCCTTGAGCTCTATTCCTACAATCTGCTTTTGCCCCTGCTCTTTCTAGAGTTCAAGGTACTAGTGGGGTTTTTGAGATCTCACTAAGCAGAAGAGCTGAGGGCTGGGAAGGGTTTGGTGGGCAGACAGCCTACTAGAGTGGGGTCCCCAGTCCAAACCTGGCCCCAGGATTCTGCCGGCCTCCTCCATTTTGCCTTTGTTTCGCAGGTGCAAACGGCATTTGGCGTCCTTGATCTTGAAGGAGGCCCGCTGTTTAACCGACAGCACTGCAGCCTCTAGAGAGATGGCAGAAGCTCAGCGCAGCCGGGGGGCCCTGTGAGGGTGAGGGCTGCTGCAGAGGGTGTTGAGAAGCTGGGCAGTAAGCCAGGGGCTTGGCTGGAGGAGAGGGATTACAAAAGCCGAGGCAATCAGATAGTAGGGGAAGAGGGAGCAAGGCGGCAGGGCTGAAGAATTACAGAGCAAAGAAGGGATCCAGAAAAAAGTGAGGCCAAGGGAGTTACTGAAGAAGAGAAATGGGGGTCAGTAAGCAAGAGTAGGGTGGGAACTGGCCTCTGGGCCGGCGCTCACCATGGCAGTGGTTGGAGTTTGTGCTGTTCCCGGTGTGGCCAGCTCGGGCGGGAATGGCCCTGGGGCTGGGGGTGCCACAGCTCACCGTGAAGCCATTTTCAGACTCTGAGAGAAGGGGGCTGTCACAGCTCTGACCTGGTCCCCACAACCCTCACTGGTTGGATGTCGATAAGGGAAGCAGAGGAGCTGTCTTCCCTCCCCCACCAGCCCTCTGGTAACTTCTACATACCTGGCAAAAACCGGGCCCGGGAGGGGCAGGTCAAGGCACAGGTGTCCTTCTTGCCAGACCGGTTGCAGCTGAGCATGGCTCTCGAGGCACCAGGACCGCTTGGACACTTCACCGGCTCTGCGGAGGGGAGAGGAGCCTCAGTAGGAGAGGGCCTTCCACTCCGGCCTTTCCCTCAGCCGGTTAATTTGGAGGAACAGAATTAGTTACATGCAGAACCGTAATTGTACAGAACCTGATAAAGGGATTAGAGGGTTATCTACAGGAAACTTCATGTCTCTAATGCAAACAGCTACATTCTTCGCCCCCTACTACCTCATGCTTTCCTCAATGTGGACCGCCTCACTTTCCAGGATCTCTGGAACTACAGTTCCAGATGAGGCCAGCAGAGGGTGCTGCCCACCTGTGCAATCCTTGCCATTCCAGTGCAGCCGGCCCTGGCCTGCGGGGCAGGTACATTGGTAGCTGCCAGGAGTGTTGATGCAGGCGAAGCGGCAACCTCCCTGGTTGATGCTGCACTCATCCACATCTGGGGGAAGGAGCAGGGAGACACAGACAAACAAATGGTGGGGGAGGAGAAGAAGCCAGGGAGTGGGCAGTGAGCAAGGACCTTTGGTTAGAGTTCCAGGCACTTCAAGATGACTTACTACGACTGTCCAGACAAGAGCTCAAACCTAAGACCTCCTTCCCATATCTTGGCCTGAGCTGCTGGGCTTTTAAAGGCTTCTGCCCCTATCTACTAGTGGGGGAGTCATTTTGGAGCTGAGGACAGGGGTCAAGGGAAAGTGATCAGGATGGGGGACAGACATTCCAGAGGCAGGATGCTATCTTTTCCTGAGACCTGATTCCCAGTTGTCTTAATTCCTTCCATTTCATCATGATGGACGCAGACATGGCACGTGTACCTGGGGACTGCCCACAGCCACAAGCCAACTTAGGGGCTTGTTCAGTTGAAGGGTGTGGAGGTGAGAGGGACCGGTGGCTGAGGGTCCAGATTTGCTGCCTTACCCCCACAGTGGGTGACACCGTACAGCAGGTAGCCGTGATGGCAGAGGCACTGGAAACTGCCCGGCGTGTTAACACACATGTGGTCACAGGTTCGGTCAAAGGAACACTCGTCTATATCTGGAAAAGCAAAGGTTCAAGCCACGAAATCTGTCTTGGGGCACTTGACCCTGGGATCCTGGGACCCTGCTCCGGTGAAGAGGAGGGTGAGAGGCCATGGCTGTCCCCTTCAATGGGAAGTCCCTATTCGTGGCCCAGCCCCAGGATCAGCGATTCAGCAAGGCCTACCCATCCCCCCTGCTGCCTCCACTCAGAGTCCTTGGAATCAGGAACTACAAGATCTGATGCCTACAGATCAGGGCCACCCTGTGTGGTTACGTCAGACCCTGCCGAGGATACGAATGGGGGTGGAACCCATCTCTCCGTCCCAGGCAAGCCATGTGCGCCCGTGTGGAGCTGGGCCACCAGGGAGAAGGCATAGGTTTGTTAACTGGCAGCACTGACGCTGCTTATGGAAACGCTCCGCAGTGTCTACTGACTTTCTCAGACTGGCGGTTGAAGCTCTCCTACCCCAAGAGCCTCTCCAAGGCTTTCCCCTTGGCCAAAGTCTACTCACCCTGGCAGTTCCTCTCATTGATGAGAAGCTTATAGCCCTTCTTGCAGCTGCACTCAAAGCTGCCCACTGTGTTGCGGCAAATGTGGTCACAGCCACCATTGTTCAAGCGACACTCGTCTATGTCTGGGTAAGCAGGACAAAGTAGGGAAAATCAGAGGTAATAAATACTGAAGGCTGGGGACAAACCCCTCGCTCCCTCCCAGACTGAATCAGGAGAGTCCTGAGCCTGCCCCTTCTGACTATCTCCCTCTCCCCAGCTCTTTCTTCCCTATTCAGGGTGGGCCTGGGCCACTAGTGACACCTCCTCAGGCTGAGTCCTCTTTGAAGAGGACAGATGGGAACCAGAGGCGGCCCTCAGGGAGTTGCCTGGAGCAGGAAGTGGGGGGCATCTGACCGACAGGGCTAGCCCACGCCCTTCACTCTGCTGCTGGTGGCCCCTCCCAGAAGGGCTGGTGGGTAGGGTGTGTTCTTTTCCTGACACCGCCCCCTGCACACCTGTCACAGGAGCTCAGTGGGGCGCTTGAGGAGGTGGCACAGCTAGGTAGAGATTTGAAGGGGCAACAGCTCTTTAGAGAGAAGCCAGTAAGGCTGGGCAGCAGGTGGGGGAGGGGTGGGGACCCGGCAGGGGCTGGGCTGGGAGAGATCTGGAGAGACTCACGCCTGAGGCAGCTTTCAGCACTAGGAAGGGAAGGGGGTGGGGGTGAGCAGCTTCCTTCCTGAGGTCAAGTTCCCCAAGCTGGTGGCAGACAGGACCCAGGCTATTCACCCCTACTTGGGGGAGGGGGCAGAGAGGGCAGCCTTCTGCTTCCCTCTTAGCATACCTGTCAGCAGTCCTTCCCAGCAGGAAACCTCTCAACTCTGGCTGTCTGACCTGCTGCCCCAGCCCTCCCCCGTCCTCTCTGCCAGCTGTCGGGCCAAAAGACACAAAGAATGAGCCCAGACCTCCTCCCAGGCCCTACTCCTTGTGACCAAGGAACACAGCCCCGATGAATCATTATTTTCAGCATGGCTTCCCTTTCCCCCAACTTTTCCCATAGACCTGGCTAATTAAAGGAGGGGGACAGGAGGGACAATGTGGGAAATTATACTACAATCACAGCTAACACAAGGTGGCCATCATTTGTCAGGCCCTGTTCTAAGTACTTTATTTAAATGTATATATAACTCATTTAATCCTTACAACATTCTGCAAGCACCATCATGCTGGTGAAACTGAGGCACAGAAATACTAAGTAACTCGCCCCGGACCACGTAGTGAATAAGAGGCAAGCGGGGATGGGAGCCCCCGCGCCAGGCCCCAGCGCCCGTGTTCCCAACTGCTGCCCTTTCCTCCCTCTGACCAGCACAGCGTTTTCCCAGGGAAGGTCCAAGGACTGTGGGGTAAGAAGGTTATGGAACACACTTGTGATGCACACACACGGCTCAACTCTCCTCCCAGACCCAGGGACAAATGCAAAGGGCACGTCCATTAACCGAGAGGGCTGGGGTACCTGGGGGATGGGAATGAGAGTAGGGAAACAAGGTCGTGTGGGGCAGGGGGCCCTAGGACCTGGCTAGACTTTGGTGCCCCCTGCAATGCGACGGGGAAGGTGGACAGGAGACCAGCCTTACTTATGACCTCAGTTCTTTATAATCAAGGTAGTCTCCAGGGGGTGCAGGAGGTTTGGGCCCGTAATAGGGGCCCCATGTCGGATCCCCCCTCCGCCCCTTACTCTTACGCACTTGTCCTCTGAAAGCCCTTACCTTTGCAGGTCTTCCTGTCTGGCTGCAGCATGAAGCCCACAGGGCAGCTGCAGTGGACACCCGTCGCTGCGTCGTGGCACTTACTGTCGCAGCCCCCGTTGTTGACAGCACAGGTCTCTATTTAGGAGGGAGGTAGGGGTGGTAACCAGCTTATCCGCCTGGCCTGGAGGAGCCCCAAACTCTAGGGTGATGGACAGCGCAGAGGCCGGAGGGAAGAGGGAAGGCCTCGGCTGCCTCCCTGTGCTTCAGAAGGAGCATTAAGCGGAGGCTCCCAGCCCCCTTCCCCTCACAAGTGCAGCCAAGCAGTCCACGTCCCTGCCCCCTACTTGATTGAAACAAGGTGGACAGCGGTGAGGCAGGTACAAGCCAGAGCTGTCAGGCAGGAATGTGCTGAAGGGGTGGAGGAGGTGGGGAGGGGAGGGCGCAAGGAGGGACGGGAGCAACTGCCACCAGGGAGTAAGAAGGGACAGACAGGAGTTTCCTCCTCTTTCAACAGACTATCGCTTTAGTGGGTGGGGCTCACGGTGGCACAATCGTGGGAAGAGTGAGTCTGGTGGTTCCTAAGACAGCTGATGGCCACCAGTTCGCTCCCCCTTTCCCTGCCCAGCCATCTTCAGAAAGACCACCGGGCCCACGACTGACGCTCGTCCTCAGGAGCCGGCACCCGGTCAGGGCCCAGCCCTTCCAGGCCGCCTCCAGCTCCTCACAAGCCTTCCCTGCACTACCAGCTGCAGACGGGCCTGCGTTTTGGGGTCTCACTTTCCTAATGGGGAGGGGGAGAGGGAGCAAAAGAGGAAGAGTCAGAGGAGAAAGGGCGAAAGAAGGCAGGTCGGACAGTCGAGAACCTCGGAGCTGTTTCTCCCACTGCCTCTTCTGACTGGTAGAGTCTTCCTTTGCTGAAAGGCCAGAGTAGGGGTGTATGGATGGGTCGCTCCCCCTATTTTCTGAGAAAAGCAGGTTTAGCAGCAGAGGAGTGTCAGGTGAGCCCAGGGGTAAAGCCACCAGC